TACAGTTTTTATCGGCTGTTCTTACAGTTTTTATCGGCTGTTCTTACTGTTTATATCGGCTGTTCTTACTGTTTATATTGGCTGTTCTGACAGTTTTTATCTGACTGAGTTCAGCCTTATAAGATCAGTGGCTACATTGACAAGCACTTTAAATTATTTATCCATCTCCTTTTCCCCTGTTTCACAGATCAGATCTTTTGACTTCAGCTATTCATTGTAAACACGTTCAGAAGTACGGCGCATGCTTGAGTTGTGCTGCTGGCATTAAACACGATGAGCCTTTGCTCTTTGTGCACGGTGTAAAAGTTGATTTTGTTCCTTGTTTTAATGTGTGGGGCTGCTAAATGCAAACTACTGTAAATATGATGTGAAACCCAACAACAGGAAACAGATTCAGCTGTGTTTACCGAGTGTGAGTCTCGTTGATGTAGATGACGTTGCGCAGGCCCAGAGAGGGAATGCTGGAGTTGAACAATTGCTCCTGCAACGAAAACAAACATTATCCAAAGGTTAAGACCTTAGACTTTATTCATTAGTATAATTTGGTCAATCACTGATCTATTTGGTCACATCTGAATTTATTTGCTTTAATGTTGGTTTTAAAACAATTATAAGAGAATTAAAAATCAATTAACCAACTATTAACTTGTACAATTTTATTATGCATCCAAACTTCTTGGCACCTGCAAATTGTTTGTTTTCTTCAGTTTTACAGTTAAGCTTTAGAAAATAATTTTCTTAGTGGAGACTAAAGTTCAGTGAGTTTGAGATAAGTGCAATGGAGGAACTTTACCCAGCTCTGTGGAGTACATGAGTGGCAGCATCGGCCCACAAAGGGCCTCTTTCTGTTCAGCAGACCCTCCTTCCACGTCCTGGCAACTGAGCGCAGGACTGAGGGGCTGGTGCTCCGGTCCTAGGAACACAACCACACGTGCAACTCAATTAGGCTCACAATAGTTAACATTAAACAAAAAAGGTCTGCTCAAAGGAACATGTGCATGCTGAAACCAGATTATCTGCTTTTGATCTGATGAATGATGCACGAGGGCGATCTATTTACGTTGGTGACTTACAGAGTCTTCGTTGGGATGTTTCCACCGGTTGCACCACTGCTCTCCATTGTTGACCTGCAGCAACAAGCCATCAGGCAGCTCCATTTTCACTGCTGCCCTTTCCTCTAATTCCAGATCACACACAGCAGCTGCCGACAAGCTGACGATACATAAAAACATCAAGCAGCTGTTTTAAAATGATTCAACATGGAACATGCACATTTTTATTTTGCCATTCTGACCACTGATGTCATTTGGTCATACTTCTTTTAAAACGAAGGTACGATAGCTTTTTTTTAACAATATGAGTCCCATGATTATCACTGAAAATGTTTGCGTTTAAAACATTGTGGCAACTCACAGGGCTGGAAACAATTTACGCAATTTGACTTTACTGATTCACAAACTTTTTTTATTATTACTTTATTTTACCAGGAAGAAATTCATTGAGATCATCAATCTCTTTTACAAGGACGGAATTGATCTGATCATTTACTTTAACCACACTTTAACTTTCCTAATCCCATTAAAAACACGTAATCTGATTTGAATACTGATTTAAAATACACTTTTGTCTTGAAAAAGAGATACTGCTCTTGAGCTGAATGAAACTGTGTCTTAAATGTACAAAGTTTTAACTCCAACAAAGATTCTACTTCATCATAATTTTTATTTGAAATTTAAATCAACTTCAGCTCCAAGTAATGCAGCCATAAAAATAGACAGAGAAGCAGCCGGCTCATTTTATAACACTGCGTTTCTACAATTTCAATTCCAAAAATGTCGGGACATTACGCAAAATATAAATAAAGAGAAAATGCAATAATTTGCTAATGTCAGAAACTCACATTTTACACATAAATATCAAATGCTGAAACTAACAAAAATTTTATTATTTTTAATAATATAAAGGCAATTATGAAATGTATAGCACCATCACATCTGAAAACGTTGGAACAGAGAAAAAGGTAAATCAATTAGGGATGCACGATATTGGATTTTTGGCCGATATCCGATATGTTAAAACTTATTTGGCCGATAACCGATACCAGTACCAATATTTGTTCCTAGATCTACTTACAGAGACTACATAGTTTTCTCTGCTGTGAAATTAAAACACTACATTATTCTGCATGGCCTGCTACCAAATGCAGATGCAAAAAAGGGGGCTGAAAATGATGCAACACTATATATATATATAATCTATACCGGTATATATTAAAAAAACAGCACCTTTTATCTCTGTGAGTTATTTTGATGGAATGCCGATGTCCGATATTTAACTTTATCGCTAATATCGACCGATACTGATACCATGCCGATAATATCGTGCATGCCTAAAATAAACAGGTGCTATAAAAATTAAAAATAAAAAAACAGCTAGAGGAAGATTTTACAACTAATTAGGTTGATTAAGAACAGGTCAATAGGACTAGTATAAAAAAAGTAGATTTCAGAGAGGTTGAATCATTCAGAAGTAAAGATGGGCAGAGGTTTACCAGTCTGAAAAAACTACCAGTACAGTATGTCTAAAAATAGTGGACATAATGTTCCTCAAAAGGGAAATAGGAAAATAATTGGAAATGTCCCATCAACTACAATTTAAATCATTAGAATATTTAAAAAATCTGCAGAAATCTCAGTAAAAAAGTCACAAATGAATGAATGAATGTGACGATTTTAAGCTTAACTTTATCTTAATACTGATCCAAACCTCTAGTTTTGACCCAGCTCCATTAATGCACCTTGGCTAAATATCTTTTGTTTTCTGCACTTTAACGCAGCGCCTTTACACGATCACTGAGTGTAGGTTTTAACTGAGGTAAGACAACTCAAGACTCACATATTTATAATATCTGTAAGGTGTTAAAAACGAAATAACTGGATTTTCAACAAATTAAGGATTTTTTTAAAACAGAAACAGGATTTTCTGCTGCTCACTTGGTTTGTTTTCTCTTGCAGCTCTAGCTCCACCTCAAACTGAAAAATTAAAATGATCCATCATACGTCAAACATAAAGATTTAACCATTAAATTACTATAAAGATAAAGCTGTAATTCGCTATGTATTACCAGCAGCCACAATAAAATAAACGACTGATTTAAGTAACGCCAATTAATCAGACATTGGTGACATTTATTTTAAATGGATGTCTTGTAGAAAAAAAAAATCTTTTATGTTTTTATGTGTGCAGATGACAGGAAAAATCTTTACAACCTGGTGCTGTTTCACAAAAGATAAGAAAACGTGCACATCTCACATGTAAAAACAGATGAGCAATATGCTGGTTTTGCTGTTTGGTTAAGACTCGTCTAGGTTATCCAAAACACACACACACAATTTATAAAGAAGTTAAAAAATGTCTTTTACCTTTATTCAACCAGGCAAACCCCTGAGACATGCTGTGCTAAAATACGCTTCATGCAAAATGGATGGGTTTGCAAAAAAATTAAAAATAGTCAAAAGAAGCGACTCGTTCAAGAAAAAGCCAAACAAAGCGAGCACAAACATATTCAAAGGAAACGGCCACGGTCTGGAAACAGGTTAGTGACTCACTTTATGAATGAAAGCTCAGTCGCTCTGCTTTGTACAGTTTGTGTGTCATCACAGGGGTGAAGGAGCTCCATCTTGCTTATCACCACCCAGCATTTTACTATTTGCAATGAGAGCGTGCACTGAGGGGAACTAGATTTACTACAGTGGTGCAGAGTAATCCCATCAGATGAGGAGACTTTACTGCAAACCAAGCATTATGGATCATATCCAACCCATTCATCTGCCCTCACCTTCAATGTGCACAACAAAAGGCTGTCTATACTGTCTACACATACTGTAATCCCCCCCATACTGTCCAAGCTGTCTGCAATAACCAGGTCAAACAGAGGAGGTCTTTGTGACAGATGGGCAGAGCAGCAGACAACAATAGCCCAAACAATTGTAGTGTGGCTTTACTGTACAGTAACTTTAAGGAAAAAGGCTCTTAACATCTGGTTAGACTACACAGGACTCCAGGTTCTGCACTGTGACACTAAATGGGCTTCACCTTAGACCAAATCCCAGGGATTAAAGCTGTCACTAAACCGGTTTAAGCTACTTTAACGGGCATGCATTAAATGTTGGCAGAGGGTCATGAATGGCGAGACGAGAAGACCCGCATTCTGTCAATCATTTTTTGATGTCAAAGTCAAAGTTAGCGAAATAATGTCAAGCGTTCCAGAAAACTATGCGCCTCTCCATATGCCTACCGGTGTCCACAACGTGGTGGGAGAGCTACTTTCACTGAAAAATGTGTTGTTTTAGTGACAATAAAGGAGCCGCAGTGAGCTACACGCGTCCCAAGCCCGGTGTTGTAGCTGCTAGCATCGATGCTAGCTCGCCAGAGACGGGCTCGTGAGAGCAGAAGGCTTACCTTAAATATCGTGCTGCGCTGATTCATTTCTCAGAAATAAGCTTGAAGAGTACCCAGAAAGAAACCGGGCAAGCCGAGGAGCGTTTCAGCGCCTTGGGCTTTCGAGCGCAGGCTCCGCTCTCCTGCGAGGAGCGGACAGCAGTGAGGATGGACCGCAGCAGCACGCCGTGTCAGCTGTCAGTGGTGCAGTGCCGCCGGAGGCCGCTAGAGGGCGGCGCTGTGCCACTCCCGTCTGTGACGTCATCACCTGTCAAAAATAGCGTTGGGCTCGGAGGTCTGTCTTTCCGTTTGAAATGTAACTTTTTACTCAACAAATTACCCATCAAATTGTCCATATTTCATCAGAAAGCCTTTCTAGCTTGGAAACTGGTTTTTGTCCACAATTTTTCACCCCATAAAGCTCTACTTTGTAATAACTGCAATACTCTTATTATCATCTTTTTTTTTTCTTAACTGTTTCAAAAAATATGTCAACCACATCCTTTGTCTTTTTGATAATACTGGCAAAATATTATCTGTTAGTTGATTATTAGCTAATATTAGATAATATTATATATCAAGCTGTTTTGTTACTATTTTTGCCATCTTATTTGTAAAAAACAAACAAAAAAAATCTGTATGCCTTTTATAACAGTCTATTGTTGTCGCTGTTGTCCATTGTTGTCATCATTCTTTGTTGAAGTCTTTGTAAATGAGACCTCGAGGCTCAATGGGATTTACCTGTCTAAATAAAGGTTGAATGAATTATCTTAGGAGAAATTTCTGTTTGTCCATGGTTTTCCTATTCCTTTCAGAGAATTGAATATGCTTACCAATGCTATTCTCAAATAATTAATTCAACTTGTTAAAAGTCATATGTGTTACAGTGAAGTTACAAAAACTCTACCCACGCTCTCACTGGAAGGAATTAAACTAACAGATAAAAAAGAAGTAACAATAGGACACATACGCCATGCTTTCATAATAAAAAAGTGTGGTACCCAGAGGTAAATTTTATTGGAGAGCTCAAATTGGAGAAAGGCCTGGCTCTTACTCCACAAATACAGTATCTCTAACAAAGCCAAAGAAAGTTTAAAATGTTAATATACAACACATATCCCTTGAATTTTATCATAGCTAAATTCACAGATATTAATGACTCTTGTACTTTTTGTAAAAAATAAAAAACTTGGAAACAACATCAAACTTATTTTTTAGTTGTGACATATCCAAAAAAAATTTGGAGTGACCTTGAATCTCACATTTTTCAATCGATAAAAATTGCATGCACATTAAATCTCCAAAATATTATTTGCTACTAAGTCTGAAAATTGTAAGTTTGAACATATACTCAATTTTATCTATTTATATACAAACAAAATTCATCCACAAACAAAAATTTGCAATTTTGATACCACATTTTATTAATTTTCAGTCATAACTAATCTATCTGATTGATTCCCTTAAATTGATTAATAATAAAAAACTATTCAAAACCAAAAAAGTCCAAGCATACAATCCAACAATTTTCAATTTTCAACAATGAAAATTGTTGAATAAAAAAGCTAAATTGTTTCTTTTTAATTACAAATTATATTTTCCTGAATCCTCTGACTAAATTTCAATTTTACTTTCATTTTCTGTTTTGTTATTCTTTATCTTTTTCTTTTCAGTCTGTTCTTATATCTCTGCTTATCTTGTATAATTTGTACTTATTTTACAACACTGTTTTGGAGGTGCTGTTTGTTAATTATAATACCTGTTTGTTTTGTACATTTTGTTCAATAAAGATTTATTTAAAAAAAAAACCTGGGCTTGGACCTGCAGCCTCAGGATGACAGGCCCACAGCACTAACCACTGATCTACCGTACACTAACAATGCAACAAAAATCAGAAGTCTGAATCAGCCTAGAAACCTTTAACTGGCAAAAACAGATGAGCAATATGTTGTTTTGGCTTTTATGTTCAGATTCTTCCAGGTTATCTAATAAACAATTTAAGGTGAAGTCAAGTATGCAGAGAAAAGTGTTTTGTTTGCATTAACCTGATTTCAGAATTGCATATTAAACTATTTTGAAAAATTCCAGTTGATTCTTTCAAATGAAATCATATGGTATAGTTCAGAAAAAAACATTTTTATTTTTTATTTCATAGTTTGCTATATCTCCTGCAAAAACAGTTTTTATGAAAATCTTTACTGTCATTAGAAAGAACAACAAAATTATATGTACCATAGTTCCTGTCAGTGCAAAGAAAGTAACACAAAAAATCTTACAAGACATTTTTCTTATGTATAAAATGTATCTGTGTGTGTAAAGAATGTACATAATTTTGTTGGATGATCACAGTTTAGGAAGTTGGTTGCAGATTAGCGAAGGGGTTATTTATACTATCTATTTTTAATAATATCAAATCTACTTGATTTGTAAAATAAAAATAACAATTATCTTTATGCACAGTACTATATATAAAACCACTGTTTTTGTTGCTGAAACTTTGAGTCATGTTTAGTTCATTCTGATACTTACATGATGGGAAACTGTGTACACAACATGATTGTTAATAGATTTGCTTATGTCTGTTAAAAATAGTTGTTTTTTTAATCTTTTTGTACAGATAGACCAACCTACTTAATAATAATAATACACAGAACCACAGCAGAAAGCCTGAACCCACATGAGCTGCAGATTTCAGACCCCAGAACCAGACAAACATCTGCAAAATTGTATCCATAGACGTATATTATTGTATTCCTATAGAGTTTTTGCTTTAATCATTGACTAAATGTGACATATACACAGTTGATAGAAAATATCAGGTGAAAGTTTTATTTTTATTCAGCAACTGAGTTGTTAGCCAACATTTGTTTTCTCAAACATGTTGTGCTCTGCAGAACTCTTGAGCTTGTTAGATTGTACATGAACATATACACTATGGTTGATTTGTTTTATACTAAACCCTATAATAATTTGTATAATAATTTTTAAATAAACAGTTGATGCTTTCGCATTAATATGCTTTGCAACAAAAACACACTCTCAAAGATAAAAATCAAGCGTTTTACAAACGTTGAAAGTGCGACCTCTAGTGGTTAAATTTATGCACTGCACGTACTAGACCGTACCATTTTGCTTGTTCAAAAACGAGGGAAACAAACTGGATCATAAAATTTATTTATTTTAATATGTTTATGTACCGAATATATTATGCTTTAAAACAACTGCTTTATTCGTTTAGTTATTTTTAATATTAAATATATACTTAAAAATGTATTAACGAGTCATAGTGGAGTCACCCACGATTTTATCAAAAATGGTACAGTCTGTTTTGGTTTATTTCCTCCGTGTCTGTCAAGCTAGCGGTAAACACAAGGTAAGTTTTGACATTTTTAAGTGTTTCTCCTCAATATAGTAATCAAAGTGTATTTTATTTGTATTTATTATACTGCGTTTGAGATTCTAGCATTGGTCTGATGTTTTATGAAGAGAGTTTTTCCTTTTCGGCCTTTGCTCGAGAGGTAAACAAACTAACCAGGGCATGTATCAACATGTTTAGCTGCAAACAACACCTCAACATTTCAACCCTACTTATCATTAATAAATAAAATAAAGACAATTAAAAACGTCATGAAGGTAGAGGTAGAATTAGGCTAGATAAACTGTTTAAATTTTGTTTTGGACAGAAGACATGATTCAGTCCTCACTACTAATATGCTATAACAAGTAATAAAATACTAAACACTAGTAAATAGGTTTATTTATTGTTTGAATTTAATATGCAGGGCGCTGTCTGCCACGAAAAGACTAAATCAGTTTATTTAATTTAGCTTCAAGCATTGGAATAACTAATCATTTAGCTTAGAGCTAAATATATGGGACTAACCTGTTTAAATGAAGGTTGAATGAAGGAATTGAGCCTGAAATTAATTTAACAGATCGTCACTTTTTAATTCATATCCAGCAAACATACAGATTTTTGACGAATCTATTTAAAAACCACAAGAAAAGCTTTGAATCCTATTCTGTTGGCCCACTGAAAAGCCATCATCTGCAGTGTGCATATTGATTTATGTCCCACTGTCATATTTTAATGCCACACAAATAAGACAGCAGTGTTGTTTTAGTTAACATTTAATGTTATCTTTGTTCATCCAGCATGCTCAAACTCCAGAAGCGCCTGGCATCCAGTGTCCTGTGCTGTGGCAAGAAGAAGGTCTGGTTGGACCCCAATGAAACAAATGAGATTGCCAACGCAAACTCACGTGAGTTGCTTTCTTTACGGTGCACGTTGCTTTTTCTCCATCAGTTTGGCTTTTAAAAAATGTTTGTCTGTTGTTGTTTATTTGGGCTGCAGGCCAGCAGATTCGAAAACTGGTGAAGGATGGGTTGATTATCAGGAAACCAGTGACCGTCCATTCCCGCGCTCGTTGCCGTAAGAACACCCTCGCTCGCCGAAAGGGACGCCACATGGGTTATGGTGCGTGTTTGTTCATCTGTGAAGTCCTTTTATGACTTGTTTTCCTAGCAAGATGAGTTTGATTTTACCGGCTCCATCACATAAATATGTATTTGTATTCTTGCCAATTTCACAAGGGAAGAAGTCAATATTTCATATTATTTTTGTCCCAGATCAACGTCTGTTTTCCACTTTTAATGTTTATAATTCAGAGCTACATATTACTATGGTAGTTTCTGTGGGATCTTAACGCTACATATTAAATGTGCTTATTTGTCAGGTAAAAGAAAAGGTACAGCCAATGCTCGTATGCCTGAAAAGTTGACGTGGATGCGACGCATGAGGATCCTGCGTCGTCTTCTTTGTCGCTACAGGGAGTTGAAGAAAATCGACAGGCACATGTGAGTGTGGATCTCAGCAGTGCGCGCTAGAGAATAAACTCGTACTTTATAATGCCTCTTGCTCTTCTGTGATGCATAGATTAATATTCTCAGAAAGTTAAAGTTTTATTTAGTTTTTTTTTTTAAAGTTCTTCCTTCATTTTAAATGTGGGAAGAACAAATTTCCATCATCTGTAAAAATGAAGAGGGGCTTGTGATCTTTTAAAGCCATCCAATTAAATAACGGTACAGGGATTAAACTGACGCTGCTTTCAACCATTGAAGAGAACCAGAGCCACGGTTTGACCCAATCAGAGCAGAGCAGGGCGGGTCGAGCTGTTTGGAGATACCAAAATTGATACGTCATCACCCCCTGTCCCCCGCACCGTGCCCTGACCTCACCGGGACTTTTGTATCTAAAATCTAACTTTGTATTAATTAAACGTGAATTTGTTCGGAGCGTCGTCGTCATCGTACAGACGTGCATCTAGTGCATGTGAACAAACTGTGGGTCAGAGAGAGCACGCCGTCGCATACACTGTGACGACTGTGTCTGCTGCTTGAGTTCTTATAATTAAACAACAACAACGCTAAGACGAATATTTTATGCCCCAACTTATATAAAAAAATGTGCATCTTCATTAAATTTTTTTCACTCATACTTGCAAAGTTCTCTCAGAGAGTCAGTAAAAAGGTGTTTTGTAGTTTATTATAAATGTCTGCTGAATTCAGTTCCACACTGTGTTTTAACAACAACAAGGTGTTGTGGCTGTTTGGATGAGCTAAACTTTATATTAAGAACCACACTGTGAGCTAAATTCAATAAATAATCATATATGAAAGTAAATAGTATTAAATAACTGAGCTGAAATCCTGTAAATATAATCCCTTTGAAAGAAATTCATTCAGCCGTTTTTTAAACAACAATTGTTTTAGAAAAATCTGTAAGTCTGGCAAAAAAAAAAAAACAAATAATAATAATTTATACTCTGCAAAGGACTTGTTCTGTAATTTTTTAAATATATCTGACAACTTCTGAATTGAAAACACTGAAATGACAAAAGTAAACAACATAAAAAATGTTTAAAACAGTCTCTACCTTCAGAATGATGTCTAGATGGTGTTTCATTAGAAAACACTATACTGTGTACTTTTACTAAGGTCATGTACACAGTATACTGTGTACTTCTACTAAGGTCATGCACAGATTATACTGTTTACTTCTACTAAGGTCATGTACACAGTATACTGTGTACTTTTACTAAGGTCATGTACATAGTATACTGTGCACTTTTACTAAAGTCATGTACACAGTATATTGTGTACTTTTACAAAGGTCATGTACACAGGGTCATGTACGCAGTATATTGTGCACTTTTACTAAGGTCATGTGCACAGTATACTGTGTACTTTTACTAAGGTCATGTACATAGTATACTGTGCACTTTTACTAAAGTCATGTACACAGTATATTGTGCACTTTTACTAAGGTCATGTGCACAGTATACTGTGTACTTTTACTAAGGTTATGTACACAGTATACTGTGTACTTTTACTAAGGTCATGTACACAGTATACTGTGGAATTTTACTAAGGTTATGTACACAGTATATTGTGTACTGCTACTAAGGTCATGCACAGACTATACTGTGTACTTCTACTAAGGTCATGCACATAAGGTCATGCACAGACTATACTGTGTACTTTTACTAAGATCATGTACCCACTGGGTAACCTCTCGGTGTAGAATGTCAGTTTTTTTTCTGCTTTGAATCTTGCAGGTACCACAGTTTGTACCTGAAGGCCAAAGGTAACGTTTTTAAAAATAAGCGCATCCTGATGGAGCACATCCACAAACTGAAGGCTGATAAGGCTCGCAAGAAGCTTCTAGCGTAAGTTGCTTTTGTTGTCAGTTAAACAACAGGTTCTTGTGTCCAGTGAGAAATGAATGTTCTGTGCTCGTTACCTACTCAGGGACCAGGCTGAGGCTCGTCGCACAAAGACGAAGGAGGCCCGTAAACGCAGAGAGGAGCGTCTCCTGGCCAAGAAAGAAGAGTTCACGAAGAACTTGTCAAAGGAAGAGGAAGCAACACAGAAATAATTTAAATTCATATAAAAATCAGGTTCAGTGTTTTGTTGTGAATAATACATTTGATAAAAGGAGTTATTTGTTGTGGTTTATTGCTTCCTGGTTAGATATAAGAATCTAAAATAAATGACACAGAAAAGCTGCCATCATTATGGGGAGTGTGAGATTGCATCAACACAGTACAATTTGAAAGAAACTTTTATTTTGAAGTGCATAGATAAAACTGTGGCATGGACTGTCCAATAGGTGGCAGTACAACACCAAACACTGTATAAAATGCCTGGAAACTTCTTTTATTCTGACAAGACCAGTCTACAAAACAACTGTGCTGCTTTTTTCTAAATAAAATATTCATGCAGCCATTTCTAAAAATACTTATAAATGTAATGCTCGTCAGCTGTCAGAGGTGGACGTTCGCTCAGCTCACTGTTTGCTTGGTCTTGGTTTATTTTGGATGTGGAAGCTCATTTTTAATTCAACAGGAACAAGTCACGTTAGAGTGGTTCCCATTCTGCCAGCAACAGTATTAAGATTAATTCATATTTTAAAAGTTGCTTATAACTTCTAATGATAACTCATTTACCTCCTAGGTAATTAGAGATTCTCTTTGTAAACCTCGAACGCTCTTTTAGATGTAGTTTGTGTTTATACTACCTATTTTATGTTGTTTTTTACATGTGACTAAAATAGTGTTGTGCTGAATGAGTCTTCCAATCATGTGTGATGTTGGTCAAAGGATTTACATCTATTTTATTTTGCTATTATTGTTTTTTTTCACCCCACTTCTCCCTAAAGGCATACGACATCCCAGCCTACACTACTGCATCTGCATTCACACAGTTTAATGAAAATTATTCAACTAGAGAAATTGCATTTCCTGCGAAAATGCAGTGTGAATGCTTATTGCAGAAGAACTTGCTGAAAAACAGCTGAAATTAGCTAAAAAAAAAAAAAGCTGACATGGAAAAACAAGTCAAAATTAGCAGAAAGAACACATGTTTGCCCAATTGGGCTTAAAGAAGCAGACATGAGCACAAAAAAGTGCAAATTATCTGAAAAAAGCTGAATTTAGCACACACAAAAAACAGCTGAAAAGTAGCAAAAAAATCTGAAAGAAGCTTAAATTTCCAAAGGAAGTGAAGAGCACAAATTTTTGCTGAATTAGGCTGAAAAAAGTTGAAATGAGCACAAAAAATGTAGAATTAGCTGAAAAAACTATAATTAGCATAAAACAGCTGGCTGAAATAACTTAAACTAGCATAAAAAGAAGCTGAATGGAGCTTAACAAGCTGAAATTAGTAGAAATATGTTAAACTGAATGTAGCTGAAATTACTCCCTCATTGAATTTATCTGAAAACAGTTGAAATTAGCTAAAAGAAAAGAAAAAAAAAAGCAAATATAGTAGATGAAAAAGTAGAACTAGCCTAAATAGCAGAATAAAGCTGAAAGTAACATGTTTGTCCAGTTAGGCTGAAAGAAGCAGAAATGAGTGCAAGAAAGTGGAAATTATCTGGAAAAAAGATGAAATTAGAAATAAAAAAAACCAGCTGCAAATCAATCAAAAAAAGCAGAAAGAGGTTTAAATCATCTGAAGCAGCTCCTTAAATTACCAGAAGGAAGTGGAGAGCACATTTTTGCTGAATTAGGCTGAAAAAAGCTGAAAAGAGTGCAAAAAAATGTGAAATTAGCTGAAAAAGTTAAAAATTAGCATAAAACAGCTAAATAGTAGCTGAAATAGCAAAACAGCTGAAATTTACAGAAATTAACTGAAAGGGACATAACAAGCTGAAATTATCAGAAAAAAGTTGGAAGAAGCACATTGAAAAAAGCAGCTGAAATTAGCCGAAAGTAGCTGAAAAAAGTTTAAATGTGCAGAAGGAAGCTGAAAGGAGCTGAACCAGAACAAAATGTGAAAGGAGCAGTAAAATGTTGTAAACAGATCTAAAGATTTGAAGGATGTAAAATGAATTTAATTCATATTCTATAAGAAAACAATGACAGAAAAGGCTAAATATTTCACAAAGCTAAAGTTGCACCAATACCAAAAATCATAGCAGGATCGTCCTTAAAGAGCTGAATGTTTTGATTTTATGATTTGTTGAAATAGCATGAATTTTTTAGAATGAGAATCACGCTGAAACACATATGGAAGAAAAACGGATCATAATAGTGTGAATGCTTCATAAATGTTCACACTATTGTGATAAAATATTCTTATTAAGGCAGGCATCATGAAGGACCCTGACTGGACTTAAAAAACAAAACTATTGCTGGTATAGCCTAATTTTATTGACATGAAATACAAAAATGATGCAAAAGGGGTATTTTCATCAGTATCTATGATATAATATTGTAAGGGCAGACATTATGTTTATATTTTGGTGTATGATGTCTGAATTATATAACATTCACATTTTATAATTTTCCTTCTCTTGAACACATGAGTGAGGGTGTGACTAAAGGTGTAAACGAATATCCACTGGTTAAAAGTGTGGACAGGCTCTTAAATATCTGGATGTTGTATTTGTGGTAATGAAACGAGAGAGAAACCCCCAAAATACTACAGAAGAGAGACTTAAAGTCATAGTTCAAATCTTTTGACGTGAGGTTCTGTGAAAAGTTATAACATCTTACTCAGTGTAGATAATACGCTTGAAAGATAGTTTGGAGAAATACCGGGACTTTATTTCTGACCAAATTGATGCAAACATCAGAGTGAGGCCAAAATAAAAGTGGGTAGCTGACATTTTAGAACCACTTCAATTTCAAAAACTTTATAGTGGTTCATGTGAATGTTATTTCATAAACATTTACACAGTCATCATTTTCCTACTTCATAATTATTTTGTCAGAAATACAACATTCATAGCGGATGTGCTATTGCTAGCTGCTGCTGCCATTTGCTTGTACTCATGACATTTTTAAGACCTCTCACATCAGCTTTGGTTTTTACTTGGACAAGGTGTTATCTTGTCAGTCTCAAAACTACCACTAAACACTATATCTCCTAAATTAAGCCATTTGAAGAGCCATCTACAGCAGGTAAGATATTGATTGTTCATACCTTAAAATTGTTATATTTAAATGATAAAATTTAAATTTATTTATAATTGATCAAATTGGTATTTTGTTAAATTTCCAACTTGAGAACAACTTTCAGACAGTACAAAAATAAATCATAGTCAAGGGAAACAAAAATTGAAAATGGTCTTTTCTGAATGAGGAAATAAATGTTTTTCTGCAACAAATTGCACTTTAATTCGACAAATTTCAAGTTTTTAAAGTCTTCTGGCACTTCTAAACAAACACCAACAAAAAAACATGGGTTTCAAAAGCCTTGAACATCTGGAAAAGTCCACATCACATCTAATTCGTGCAATTCTTTCACTAAACATTTACTTTAACCTCATGCAGCCATTATCAAATGGATCACCGAAGACAAAACCATCCGTAGAAGTAAATGTGATCTCTGCAGGAGAATGTGACGGGAATTATTGAGAGAGAACCCTGTTTTTTGTGCAAGAAGGCCTTTTTGTTGCTCTAATGCATTTCTTCATTACCACGAGGCACTTCTATTTCCTGAAGCATACGCCTTAATGGGATTAGATGAGGAGAGGAGTATGAGCTGAAACCAAGCGGCGCTCTTTATTACATTTAGCCCCCAACCCAGTCAAAACAAATGGAGTATGATTCGGTGTTCAGGAGGTCCCCAGTAACCACTGAAATGAGGGGATGAACACAATTAAATGCAGCTTATTGTCAAATATAAAAATGATCATCTATAAATCATCCTGCTCGTGTCAGTCTTTATGTTGAGTTTATAACTTCTGCATTTAGCACAACATTATATACGTCACTGTAAATAACATTTGTTAAGTTAAATTAATTAACCAGCTAACTCATCTTTGTCAGCTGATGTTTCTTATCCGTCTCAGATATTTTTAGTTTGTCTGACCTGAACAGTATTCTCCACAAGGCTTTAAACAAGTTTACTTCACAGTGTTTGTTGGAAGGGAGGCTTGATTGTCAAATCTCTAATCCAGAAGGAGCAGTGTGGCGTTCCTCTGGGATGTGGACCAGATCTTCACACATGCCGAGTTGCTAAGAGGGTCATGGGTTTGATTCTTTAGTCTACGTGGACTTTGTGGCTCTTGAGAAGGCTTGTGTCTGTCTTCCCTGAGTTAAAATGAACGTGGGCTCACTTGTAAAGCTGCATCCTCAGCACAAAGTGGAGCTCGTTCCCAGTGCAGGCTGGACTCCACCAAGACTATTTCTTGTCTCTGATTGCGTGTTCATGGACAAGCTCTCAAGGTCCAGTCATATCTGGTTTGGGGTCCCCATTGTCTCTGCTTTTTTCGGATTATGTGGTACTTTTTCTCGCTTGAAACTCGAACAAGACGGACGCTTTTCTTCCCTCTCCTGCTTTTGCTCTTTGTCTTGTGTATCAGAGCTTCTCTTTACACATCTTCCGAGTCGTAAATTATTATTACGGATCTGGTCAGCTGGTTTATCAATGCATTTGATAGCTTTTTTTTGTCAAGAGACAGGGTGCTGGTGAGCCCTCATGCCCAAGCGGACGCACGCAGCTGGGTATGTCATGGATCGAAGATGCATATATAATGGGATTTATGATAACAGGTTTCGGAATCGGCTGGTTCCTGGTTTATCAACATACAAAGAAGACAGCTGCAAATAATTTGGTTCTGGTCAGGCTGTCGGCCTTATGTGATGGATTAATTTGTGCTTTGACTTCCTGGAATTCGCCGGCACGATGGATTCAACTTCTGGAGGAAAGCGGCAGCACGGACCGGTGAAATGTCCACAAATCCGGCTGTTTGGATTCGCCATCGAGAATTCCAGCAGAACTTAAAGCGGACAGGAACCAGAGTCTGCCTGCCCAAACAGTTGTTTTCTGAATCTGGTCTCCCTGCTCGGCCTTGGAAAGCCAACTTATCTCAAATTGCTCCTGGTGGATATGTAGATAAAGAAGCTCTGCTCTGTCCACTCCCCTCCCACAGAGAACTACTGTGAACCTTTATCAGAGCTGAACCGGCTGAGAGACACTGGAACATCTTAT